TTACACTATATTAGTATACGTTTACCTTATAATTTTAAATTTTAAGATAAAAAATGCTTAATTTTTAAATTTTGATTAAAAATTCAAAATTAAGCATCTTTTCTCTTAAAATTTAAAATTATAAGGTAAATGTATATTGATATGATGTAATTTTATGTGTAGAATAAGTTTAAACTTTTTGTTGATTAATATATAAAAATTGTACTTATAACATAAAGGTAGGTTTAATTAGCACAACTTTGTGTATTGTAATATTTTTCATAATTTTATTAATAAAATTATGGAAAATATTAAACTACATATAGTTGTACTAATTAAACCTACCTTTATGTTATAAGTAAACTTATTCTACATATAAAATTACATTATATTGATATATGTTTACCTTATAATTTTAAATTTTAAGAGAAAAGATGCTTAATTTTGAATTTTTGATCAAAAATTCAAAAATAAGCATTTTTTCTCTTAAAATTTAAAATTATAAGATAAATGTATACCGATATAATGTAGTGTTATGCGTAGAACAAGTTTACTTAGAACATGAAGATAAGTTAAATTAGTACGATTTTGTGAATTTTAATATTTTCCATAAATTTATTAATAAATTTATAAAAATATTGTGATTTTTAAATATTTGCTTAGTTAATCTCTTTTTAGCTTCTAAGTAAAGTTGTAGAATAATGTTTTGCGATCAAGATGGTAGGTAAAACATTAAAATCGGCCTAGTATATTATGAGATACAAGTATTTTAGTCTTCACGACTATATGCTTTCTTCTTTATTTAAATAAAGAAGAAAATATATAGTCGTGAAAACTAAAATGTTCATATCTCTCGATCCACTAGACCGATTTTAACGTTTTAACCGCTATTCTAATTACAAGGCACTCCTCTACAACTTTCTTAGGTATTGAAAAGAGGTATATTTAGTAAAGAAAAATCTTTTTCTTTGGAAAACTCTAGATTCCAAAGATATTAGTAAATATCACTATTTTTTACTATGTATTGTTACTGGTTCATAGGCAGATTACAAATTAAATATATTTAACTGAGTAAATTAAAGACAAAACATAAAAAACATAAAGCAGTATAAAATAAATAGAGTGAATTCAAACTTTCAAACATGTTTGCAAACTATCAAACTAGACTTAAACCAGACCCAAACTAAGCATAAAGTTTAATATTCAAACTCAAACCTTATTAAATTTTAAAAATAATTTGGTTTGAGTTTTATATCAAACCAAACTTAACTAAAGTTTGGTCTTAGTTTGGATTTGTGTAAGCCCTAACTCAAATAACTTACTTTAAATACAAAAAATAATCCATATACTTATTTATTATTAGTATTAGACAAGAATAAATAAACCAAATAATTACAAACATCTATAAACTTAAAAATCTAAATATCTTACTTATTTTAAATCTACCAGTTTTCTTAAAATACTTACCAGTGCGAATAAACTTAATGAAAATATAAATTTCTTATTTTAAATATATTAATTTATCATACATATTTACTAAAGATTGATAATAGTAAATGTTAATGAATCTGAATACCTTAAATACCTCAAGTAATCTATATATAAGTATATATAATTACTATTATATCTAGCAAATGCAAAACTTCAAAAGTCTGAGTATCTTATTTTTTTAAAACTTAAAAATATCTAAACCTAGTTAAATTGATCTTATTGATTAAATAAAAATTATACCTAATTAAAAAAACTTAAAGTATATGAGTATATTAAAGAAAAACTAATTTTCAGGTTTTTAAGTTTGCAACTTGATGGTGGTTAGCCCTAAAGTATTTATTTATTTTTTTTTTAAGCAGTCTTGTCTTTATTTATTTGAACCACTATTTAACTATTATACATATATAATTGACTATATAGTGTAATACTCTAATCTAAAAAAGACTCATCAAGTATTTACCCAGTATGACCCACCAAAACAACAATTTATCTCCCTCAGGATCCTTAACTTTCTAAGGATTTTGTACCGATCTAGGTACCTCCCTTGGTCATCAATTGGCTGTTGTCTGCCATGTCAAGCCTGCTTAAAAGAAACAATTCGGCTTCACCAGCAAAGATCATGCTGGTTTGGTTCCCTACAAGACCTATGCCCTGGTTAGACTATCTCGTTCTTTGTTCATGTCCAGTTTTTCTTCTTTTCGGCTAACCTTGGATCTTCTAACATCTTTCTCTTTTGTACTGCTCGCTGAGTCTCTATCTTCTTTGTCTTGCTCCTTTGTCTCTTCGCTCTTTCTTTTTCTTGCATTTTCTATTTTCTTTTCCTTTGTTATACCTTCTTTCTTCTCCTATTCTATTATCTTTTCGCATTGAAGGTTCCAGATGAGCTTGCGAAAGTGGTGTGAGAAACTGTCGACAAAGGCATGCAGGATTTTGGAGGTCTTTACTACTTTTTCTAATAACGAGCTAATCTTTTGGACTCTCTGCTTGGTCACCATGCCTCTTATTAGTTCTTTCCTAGTTGTGATTTTTTCATCAAAACTTTTGCCGAATACTAATTCTGCTATTTTCTGCTTGTTGTATGTCTTCAGGTTTGCTTTTTTTTTTTCTGCTTTGTTAACAATAGCTGAGCAGCCTTCTTCTTCAAGCTTGCTCCACGTTAATTGCAGCTCAGTACACTCGGCTAAATAATCTTGTGTCTCACATTCTTGGAAGCAAATCTTGCAAGTGTCATTCGTGTATATATCCCTTTTTCTCTGTCTCAGAACTTGCATTGTTGAAAGTAAACCATTAAGATGCTTGATTTTAAAAATCCAGTCTTTGTGTGCTTGAGAGCTTGTGCATTTTCTTCCTTTGACTTTGCTTATATCTTTCCAGACCTCTCTTCAGTCTATTTCACTTTCTTTGTGGATTGACCCAACCCATTTGTTTATATTTTTTATATTTTTCCACTCAGTGTCAATGACTAGGTCTGTAAGTTGTGTAACAAAACCTCTAGTTGTATCATCTACACGTATTTCTTGCCACCTCATCTCAACGGTCGACCGTTTGTTTCAAGGCCATCTCGGGTTTAGGAGCAAAGCACTATTTACCCCTTCTTTTGCAAGTTTGTCAGCCTTTTCGTTGCCTTGCACCCCACTATGAGCTTTGATCTTGTTGAATCGTACTCTTAGGTCTTTAAGCTCAATTGTTCTTGATATTTGTTCTAGGAGGCAGAGGTTTTTCTTTTTGACTATATCGCTTGGCTTGGTTTTGTTTTGGCTTGCTTGAATTGCCTGAATTGATGCAGCGTTATCTGTGTAAATATTTACTCTAGCTTTGTTTGGTGCTGTTAACAAGGCTGTCCATATTGCGCCCAGTTCAGCTCTTGTTGATGACGGCCAATCTTTTATAGCTCCCTTGAATTCTGCTATGTAGTTATCACACTTCTTGGCTTTATTTTCTATAGCGGCCACCCATCCTATTCCCATTTGCCTTCTTTCTGGGTTCTCCATAGGGTTTGACAAAGACCCATCTGTGTAGAAGGATATCTTTCTGTGTGGAAAAGCTGCTCTTATTAAAAAAATAAATAACTTGAAAACAAATATTATTAATGAATTAAAAAAAAGTCCTGATACTAGCAATATTGTTTGACTAAAATCAGATAGAAATTTAACCAGAATAGATATTTTATTAATTATTTTACTTATTTTCTTTTCAAATATTTTTTTTATTTTATTATTAGGATTTTATAGTTGGTTTTTTAATTATAACTTAACATGTCTCATTATCCAATAAATATATAAATATCTCTCGATTCAATAAAATTATTTTTTTTTTTAAAATAAAATAGCATTAAAAAATTTATTTTTTTTTCATATATATTGATTGATATCTGCATATTAATCTTTCTTGTTTTAGTTGCTTGTTTACTTTACTATATATAAAACCTGATTTTACATCAATAAATGACTTTATTGTTCTAGTTTTTAGACATTTCTTGTGTAATTTACATATAATATTTACAGAAATAATTATATATCTTGATATATTATAATTCAAACTAGCGCCAAGAAAATCAAAGTGCCCTCCAGGATATAAAAAAAAATTCACATCATTCTGTGTAAAAGAAAAATAAAAACAAAAAAAACAAAATCCACAAAAAAAAACAAAAACAAATCCACTGAGATGAACATCAATCTCAATTTCTAAAAAGTGTAAAGATTGCAAACCAGTAGTTAAAAAAAGTACAAATAGTTGTAGCACATCTGATTTTATTAGACGATTTAGAAGAATCTAAATAAGATGCTGTTGAAATATCTACCCAATTGTTCACTGTTATGTTGTAACAGAGTGGTAAGAACTATGAATTATTTCTGTAACTTGGAAGAATGTAGACCCGAACAAGAATCACAAGATTTGAAAAAATGTGATTTTAAACATAATGAATTTATGCAATATAAAACATGGAATGTTACAGAAAGGCAGACTGCTAATGATCGATATTATCTATTACCATTAATCAATAGAATTAATATCTTTTTGTTAAATCAAGAAATCACAATAGATCAAATTTCTTTATATGATATAACCATCAATACATTATTTGTAATATTTTATGGTTTCAATAAAGATGTTGAACTTTATCAAAATAATTTTACAATATTTAATGCTATAGGAGAAAATGGTGCAAATGCTAGAAACACATATTATCCTTTGATAGAAAATATGTATCTATTAATTTTATTAGGAGTTGTTTGTGATTGAGATGTAGCAAAACAACAAAATTACATACTAGACAATTTTATTAACAAACCCAAAGAAGATCTCAAAGATTTTACTACAAAAAATGTTTTTAAAGTTATTGGTAAAACATATGCAAACATCCCATGTAGTGGTGACTATCCATTCACAACTCATAATGTCATTTTATATTTTAAATTTAAAACAAGATAGATATTTGCTTGTTAAACAGAAATGTTGAAAGTGAATATAATTTTTTCAATATTGAAAAATTTGTATTGATTATCACAGCAAGTTACATGGATTGAACAATGAACTTAAAACATTCTGATGATGCAAATTATTTTAATTTTGGTCAAAGAAGAGACTTGTTAAATGGAAATATTGGATATTCGATAATGGTTAAAGATTTAAAAATTTAGCTAACATATAAACCTATTATTAAACCAATTAGACAACAAGATCTGGCAAGAGTAATTGCGGCTCTTAATATGCCTCAAGCTCTAAATCAACCAATAGATCAAGATAATAATTAGATTTCATTTAAATTTATATAAATATCATTTGTATTCTTTATTTTTTTAATAAAATATTATACATATCATAAATTAAAATCTACAATGTCGAGTTAAAACAAATTACAACGATAAATTTTTTAATTGTAATAATGATCGGCAAACTAATACACAAAATATAAAAATAAAATCGAGTAATAACAATAATGGTTTACAACAATTAATCAATATAATCAATTTTATTCAAAATATACAAAATAAACTACCAGAACCCAAACCAGATGATAAACCAGAAACTGATAAACTAGATGAACCTATAAATGAACCAGAAACTGAAAACCCAGATAAACCAATGAATAAACCAGAAACTAATAAACCAGATAAACCTGAAACTGAACCAGAAACTGATAAACCAGATGAACCAATAGATAAACCAGAACCTGAACCAGATTATGATTTGATTTTTAATACCATTGAAAAAGAAATTAAATCAACTACTAGAACTGACGCTGTAAAATTACTTGATAACATCAGCAAAATTTTAAAACCACAATATTGCGCAAGTATTGCAATTGATATGCAATATTGCGAAAGATTTTAAAAAATTGCGAATACAGTCATCCCCCTCTATAGTCACCTCCTCTATAGTCACAACCTCAATATAATCACAGTTTTTTTTTTACCAACCTTTTTTATATTATTTATACCTCTATATAGGCACAATCACCTTATAGTCACTATCACGTTTTTTCGTTAACAAATCATATAACATATATATAAAATTACCCTCTATAAAAGCACACTATAAATAAAACAAATTAGGTAAACTTTATTCTATTTTACCTTTTATTCTATTTTTTAGTGTAATGGGTTCAAATACCTTTTTAAATTTTGTAGATTAGCCAGATCTAGGATTTGAACATATGTACGCATGCACGTAATAGTTAGAAGTACTATAACTGAAAACTTACTATCAGCTTTATAGATTGATTAGCTCTTGTGCATATACGTTGAAAAGGGGTGACTTAATGGTTTTAAAGCTAAATCTAGCTAAATCTACACACTACAACTTCTAATCTTCTGTTCAAAGACCCTAAAGACTTTGATTTGGCAGGCAAAAAGAGGCGCGGAGAGACTTGGTCTGAGTCTCTAAGTCTTGTTGAGTTTTGCTGCAGCGTATTTGGAAGCTAAGATAAGTATACCTTGGTCTTGTGCTTATAGCAGTATTTAATAAACTTCTAAAGGAAGCTAAAAGTGGTTTCTTGGCTTGAATTTTTAGTGTGCCAGGCTGTAGTATTCTACTTCGATCGTTAAGATCCTTAACAATCATCATGTGGATTACGTGGTTATGAAGTATAGTTGTAATTTCAATTTATAGCCGATTTGAGGTAACAATGATGTTTGATCAAAGCTTGATCAATTATATTTTATTATAAAAAGAGTTTTTGGGTTTTTAATCAACTCTCTTTCTTTCTCTAACTTAAGTATAGAGAAAATCACAGAAACAAGAGAACATGAATTCGGCTTGTGTTGATATCGTTTTTAGGGAACTTAGAGACACTTCTACTCAAATTTCAAAGGTCAAGACTCTTAACAGTTTATCAATTATAACTAGATCAGTGTATATTTCTATTCAAACGTTTTTTATGATAAACAAGATAAGTATAAAACTACTGGAGCACTTCTACTGTTATTTATTTCGAAGTATTACTCAACTCAGTTCTCCCTTCTTTTCAGAGCAAGAGTGGTTCTGCTTTTTATATATTTTTACAGGATTTAAAATATACAACTTTCTCTTGAATTTATTCGCTAAGACGAATAAATTCACTATATTTACTAAGGTGATTAAGTTGGATTAAGCGGATAAATTCGCTAAAGCGAATTTATTCGACTTATTGATTTGATTCAGGAGAAGGAGCCCGGATAACTAAGTATAATACTCTCACACTTATATACCCGGGTATAAATCAAAATTGGGTATCTAAAATCACTACAGAAATATAGTAAAGTTTAATTAAGAAAACTATATCTAATTAGAATTTCTTGAAAATTTAAAATAAAAACCCCTATATAGTCATTTTTATATTTTGTAATATAATTGTGACTATATAAAGGTAATCTTTATATTAGTCACACCTCTTTATAATCATAGTTTTTTGTATCCAGAAGGTGTGATTATAGAGGGAGATGACTGTAGTTGTGAAATTTATTAAGAAAATTCGCAAACTTTCAATAGATAACCATGTTCAGCACATCATTCCGGTCATAATGGTAGTTAAATCATCAAAATCGGGCTAATATTTGCTAAGATAGCTTAATTGCAATATTTGCACAATATTTCAAATATTGTGCAATATTGTGCAATATTCGAAATATTGCGCAAATATTGCGATTAAGCTATCTCAGCAAACATTAGGCCGATTTTGATGATTTAACTACCATTATGACCGAAATGATGTGCTGAACATGGCTACCTATAAAAGTTTGTAAATTTTCTTAATAAATTTCGCAACTATTCGCAATTTTTTAAAATCTTTTGCAATATTATGTGTCAATCGCAATATTTTGCAATATTGTGGTTTTAAAATTTGCCGATAAACGAATTAATTTTTGATAAAATAGAGAATTCAGAATTAAAAAAAAACAGAATAAAACACGACTTCATCAATTATATAATGATAAATTTGATAAATTACAAAAAGAACATTAGAACTATATCAAAAATCAAATTATAATAATATGTTGAATACTGAAAATGAATTGAATGAATTATATTTTTAAGTTGCAAAAGATCGAATCTTAACAGCATTAGAAATATCAAACTCGTTAAAATCAATTAATGAAAAGATTAAACTGATAAATACTGAAAAAGAATTTGACAAAATCACAGAAAAGATTAAAAATGAAAAGAATATTTTAAAATTAGATGCTGATATAAAGATGAAATAGATTTTGATACAAAATATATTACAGAGGACCAAAAGAAAAAACTTTATAGATTATATGAAAACAAAATTCAAGAATTGAAAGAAACTAAAAAATTTAATAAATTATTAAAAAATATTAAAGATAAATTCTTTATTGGAAACTTGCTTGATGATAAATTACATGATTTATTAATCAAGGTTTCTGAATTAACAGAAGAACAAAAAAATATACTACAACAAGCACGTAAAGATCAATTAATCACAGTAACGAATAAAATATTTGATGATTTAAAAAATAGCATTAAAACTGAATGTTATATGTATCAATTAGAAGATAGTAGTCACTATGATCAAAGTATTCAAGAAATACATAAAGAATACTTAACAAATGAAAGAAAACTTAAAGATTTACATTAATTACGTAGATATAAACTCAATACATTATTAAGCAAAACAGAAGATAAATTATATAATATTACCAAAGAAATCATGGAAAAACTAGAAAATCTAGATAAACTTTCTGACCAATCAGAATTAGCAAAAGATATATTCAAATTGAACCAAATATTATTAACCAGAGATAAAAATATAAAATATCTAGATAATTATAGAAAAGCTAGATTCCATAATGGCTACTATGATAACATAGAAGTATCAATCAAATTGAAACAAGATATAAACAGATTACAAGAATATTAGAAAGACAAGATCGATAAACTTGATGACAAATATCTCATTAAAGACAAGCAATTATTGCACAATTTACGTAAACAAAGAATAAATGATCTACAAAATCCAGTCCCAAAAAGACCAGCTCCTGAAAATAATCAACTAACCACAGAATACCCCAACAGAAATACAGATAATACAACTCTAATAAGAAATGAAAGAGAAACAGCTATAGTACAAATTAACTTTATTATTAATAAATACAAAAAAACACTGAATGCAAATGATCTAAAAAAATTTGGTCAAATGCAAACCAATAAGGTTCGCAACTAAATTCAAAAAGTATATAATAATGCCAAAGATGAAAAAACCTTATTAGATATACTTTATTATGATTGGGTGCTAGATAAAAATGATCAATTCTTGTTATTAAAAAAATACACTGTA